CGATTCCAAAAATGTATTAATATACGGGGTGTTCCATTTAAAAAAATAAAGTTCCTAGGACTTTTTGATGGAAGTGGCAACGCCGCAATGCTAAAAATATTTTAGATCGATAGAACAGGTAAGGAAATGTGAGAGGTGAAATTTTCAGAAAAATTAAGCTTTGCGTTTTCCAGAAACGTCTAACCTTCCATCGACCGTGAGTCACGATGTATAATAATGGCCAGACTAAGCAGAAAACTAGAGATTCGAATCATGAAACAAAAATATTTAATGTACGTTTAAACTAATCTAAGTTTTTATTTTACGAAATTTGAAAAAAATCAAGAAAATAATTCTCACAAGGTGGATCACCTCTTTAACAATGTGAATACTCTAGAAGTTTAGTTGGAAGGAAATTATATATTTCTATTTCTTAGTTTCCTTGAAAACTCAAGGTTTAATAAAATATAATAAGGTAGGTGGGTCTATAAGAAGCATGAAGAGTGTCTGAAAAGAGTCTTACAAGGTGGATCACCTCTTTAACAATGTGAATAGGTACTCTAGAAGTTTAGTTGGAAGGAAATTATATATTTCTATTCTCATGTCCGAGTACCCAAATTAGAGTGACCCTATTTTGGGTTCTCAGCTCCTTCAGTGCGCTCAGACAGCTTCTTGAGAAGACTTGAAATGAGCTGAGCGCTTTAATTGCCGCCTGGTTGTCTGAGAAAATGGCAATTGTTTTATTCGTGACTTTCTGCCTGTTTATTTCCCCTATACAGTGTTCGATATCCTACATTATATCCCTGAATTAGCCTGTGTGTCACCAGTCGAACTTCTCTTTGTATGTAGATGTGCAATGGATACAATATGTGCTACGATTGTATTCCACGAGATTTTTGTATGAGTTTCGGTTTTTGTTCGAGTTATATAAAATAGTTTTATCGAGTATCTTGATAAAAAAGTTTGCATTTTAATAAACAACCTCCTGAATCATGAAGAAGTCATCATTTTGAGATGACAAATGGATATTTTTCATTCATGAATTGATAAAAGTCTGATATGGAAAACTGAATTGAGTAAAATTGAATTTTCTGGAACGTAAAAGTAATACTTACAAAACGAAAGTATTATTTTTGTGAAGGAGACTTTTTTTATTAGAAATAACTTGATTGTTATCTACCATTGTTCGTTAAGGAGGCTATAATTATAATTACGTTAAAGCATTTTCATCAATTTCTATTCTAGAATTTTTTATAGAACTGGCAACTAAATTTCACTGATAATTTATTTCAACTTTTCCTGCTTTTTTTTTCAAAGGATAACAAAATTGATCACGCTATTTTTTCATGCTTCCAGATATGGACGAAAAGTGGTCCTTATTTGGGGAATGGTTCTCACCGGAGTATGCGGTATTATTCGGGCATTCATGCCAACTTACGAGTGGTTCATGTTTTTCGAATTTCTGGATGCTGCATTTGGTGCAGGGACCTACATTTGCGGCTTCGTATTAGGTAAAACACAGAAAGTTTTGTCAGAAAATAATAACAAATGGAAATGTCTACTATAACTGCTGAGTATCAGTTGAACAATAACAAGGACGACCGTTAAAGCTCATGAAACAATTAATTACTTATGTACGAAATGATATATTACCATTATTTCTTGGGAAAGAAATGTTTTGGCTTTCTACTACTCAATCTTGATACAAAAAATGTGGGAATCTTCCAAAGAAAGAAAGGAAGTAATCAATTTGAAAATAAGTAACTCTATACATGGATATGTAGATCATGCAAAGAAGCAACTTTCAGACAAAAACTGGAAGAAAGCCCTCCTGAAACAGNTGTAGATCATGCAAAGAAGCAACTTTCAGACAAAAACTGGAAGAAAGCGCTCCTGAAACAGCTACTTTCATATAAACATTGAGTTACACGAAAGAAAAAAATGTTTCTTTCCCAAAAATTAATCACTCCTAAAAATATAGCCCCTTCAATTCACCATTATTTCATTTGTAATTGAAACCACGAAGAAAAAAAACTTCTCAAAGTACAAAATATCACTATAATAATCGACATTTCAAAAAAACAGCTTTAAGTTCTGACAATTTCAATACAACAACATATCTGGACCGTTTTTGTGAACCAGAAGTACTAAACCTTTTATTAATGTACCTAAAAAAGGCCATGTGGTTCCATAGGAGTTCAGTATTCATTCTGAGAAATGTTCTACATATCATCATAAATTATTTCATTTTCTGGTACAAATATTTCTACTACTGCAATGTTTCCATATGCTAGGGTCTTCAAAATTCACCTGAAAGTAAACAAGGACATAGATAAATTGATAGATGTAGCCGTTACTACGTGGTTCGAAATCATAATGAAGAATATAGTATTGAAACTTTTTATGTTTTTTTACCATTTTTATTTGTAACTAACGTTACTGCAGTTTAGTCCTATATATAAGGACTTAAAGTTTGGAAATGTCCTTATAGGACTAAACTGCAGTGCAGTAGTGCAGTAGTTACAAATGAATGTGTTAAAAAAACATAGAAAGTTTAAATTTTCATTTCTTCATTAAGGACGTAGATCTTGACATATTGCATTATGTGTTACTGGAAATGTGGAAACACATACATACTGTTAGTTAAGCACGATTTCGTACGCTCTTGAGTATTTCGAAAGAGGCACTATTGGTGTAACAGGTAGCCAAGCAACACTTGAATGTTGAAAATCATTTACTTGTGAGCCTAAACTGGCATGGAACTCCAAAATCTTTCCTAAGACAACTAGTAGAGAGAAATCAAGATAACACACTTTTCTGGGCCGAAGCCACATCAAGGAAGAATTTTGACAATGAGGACTTGATCATCTGAGACCATGACAATATATCCTCAAAGAAAGTTGTATGAATTGTAGGTTTGGTAAAAGAAGACTAGAGATTTGTGGTAACGGGACACTGCCCACTGCCCACTCAAAATAAGCAGGACATTTAGGACATGCAGAATTCACTACATGAATTTTGCATGTCCCAAATGAAAGTTTAGGGCTATACTGAAAGAAACTTTTCGAATTCTGAACTATTACTAAATTACAGTAGTTCAGTTTTAACTGTAGCAGTTTTATTCATTGAAGTAGATATGCTTCTCAGATGTAGATATGCTTATTTTTTAGTAAACAATATAATACAATCTCATTTAATCCATTGTATTACCATGATATATAGATAAATGTTACACTAACATTTTTTAGTGGTATGTACGTAACAAAGTTATAAGATGAAAAATATTGTGTTGAAGCAATGTATCTATACCGTATAACATTTATATTATATACTTACACGACTTAAATTTATCATTTATCGGTGATTTCTAGTGTCCGACCGAAAGTTCGGTTTTGGTTTCGGTCGAGTTTAGGCAAAAAAACAGGTTTCGGTTTCGGCGAAAAACCTGCCGAAACTACGACCGAAACCGAAACTGCATTCGGGAGTTCTCGCGCTGTGATCGGTCATGTTCGAAGCGTTGAATTTCATACAAACGATGAAGACATTTTGCCGCGTCCACGTGCCTAGTCATGTCGTGACTCGTGACTTACTTTGTGATTTACTTTGTTTATTAGATAAATATTAAGTACCTATTGTGATATTAGGTAACAACTTAAATAAGTAATTTTATGTTTAATATTTCTGACGTAACAAAGTTATAAGATGAAAAATATTGTGTTGAAGCAATGTATCTATACCGTATCACATTTATATTCTATACTTACACGACTTAAATTTATCATTTATCGGTGATTTCTAGTGTCCGACCGAAAGTTCGGTTTTGGTTTCGGTCGAGTTTCGGCAAAAAAACAGGTTTCGGTTTCGGCGAGAAACCTGCCGAAACTACGACCGAAACCGAAACTGCATTCGGGAGTTCTCGCGTTGTGATCGGTCATGTTCGAAGCGTTGAATTTCATACAAGCGATGAAGACATTTTGCCGCGTCCACGTGCCTAGTCATGTCGTGACTCGTGACTTACTTTGTGATTTACTTTGTTTATTAGATAAATATTAAGTACCTATTGTGATATTAGGTAACAACTTAAATAAGTAATTTTATGTTTAATATTTCTGTAAAAACATTCATAATATCCAATAGAAGAATCTATACCTACTCAAATAAACACCCCACCTATTTTGAGTATTTTTAAGGTACAATTAATTTTTTTCAAATAAGGGGTTGTTATGTTGATTTGTTGATTATCAATAAGTGAAAAATGTCGAAGACTGCACAACGTTGCGATTTAAAGTTAAAAAAATAAATACTGACTGATTGTAATAACGTTTTCTTAATTTTTTCCTCAAAACATAATCCTTGTGAAGAAGTTTCGGTTTCGGCTGAAACTGAAACCGTTGCCGAAATTCGGTTTCGGTCGTGAAAACCAGTTTCGGTCAGACACTAGTGATTTCCTATATTTTAATTCAATTTTTTTGAAATATTCACACACAGTTTATTGAAAAAACCTTTTCCTCGCCAGAACAATAATGCTGTCTCCTAACGTGCATTTCGCTAACTAAGGTAACATCATCGTGAGATATATTGTTTTGTCTGTTTTTATGAGTCTACTTTAAACTTTAATATCTCACTGAATACGTATTCAATTCAATCGAAATAAGCGCTAATTGATTCTGTCAGCAAAACAATTGTGTGCCAAGGATTCGATGAAGTCGACGAATTCCGTTTTTGCCTAGTCCTGATTGGCGAAGGTTCTGCCGATGAGAAAGTTATCGAAGTGCTTGAAAAGATGGTAGTCGGTTAGCGAGTGGTTTGAGGAGGCAGAAGAACGACGCTCAATCCGTTTTGATTTTCGTGCGGTAGTTTGTGGAACGTGTGGACGGGCGTTGTTGTGTACCCGAATCGGACCTCTTATGATGACCAGTGCCGGCTACTGCTGATGCAATTTTCGGTAAATTCAGTCGATTTCCTCAAAACACTCTGCTGTAATGGTTTGGTCCGGTTGCAGAAAGTTATTGTAAATCATACCAGCCGGTGACCACCATACAGTACCTAATCATGGTGTGTTTTCGCCTGGGTGGCTCATCGGTGTCAAACCACTGTGCTGAACGTTTTCTGTTATCGGAGAGGATCTACTTTGCAATACACGTGACGATCCGATCCAAATGAGGATCGTTTTGGTTGCGCGAAAGCAAATCGTGGGACACCCAATTCTCGCGCTTTTTGACAAGGGAGGATAGTTATCACCCTTCTTTAGAAATATTAATTACACTACACAAAAATAAAATTCAAAACAATGAAAATAAATTTGTAGGCAACCGGTTTAATTTCAAGAGAGCCAATTTCAATTTGTTGTCAGAGCGTTTACGAGATACAGTATGGGAGGAAGTATACAATCAATCAAACGTAAATATAGAGCTTGAAAAATGTTATAATAATATTAATGAAATATTCAATAAACGTGTACAAGATACTGTATCTATGAAATATTTAATGAATGCGTACCGAAGTCGTCTAATACAAGGCCAAACAAAAAACACTATCCAAACTGGTTCACAAGTGACATAAAAATTATGTTGGAAAAAAAAGAAAAATATAGAAGTTCAAGAAAAATATCTGAAAACTATAACAAAATGTATTTAGAAATAAGAAAAAAAGTTAAAACTAGTATAAGGGAGAGTTATAAGAAATATTTAACTGAAACCGAAAGTAATATTACGTCAGATGTGAATGCATTTTGGACATTTGTTAACAAAAAGAAATCTAATAATAGTACAAGAACAGATAACTTTTATTCAAATGGTGTTCACATACAGACAAATCAAGTTGCTCATGGTTTTGCACAAAATTTCTCATCTATCTATACAACACAAAAATCAGATTATGATATGAAATTTACGAAAGGTCATATCACGAACGATATATTTCGGTTGAACTCAATTGACGAACAGGATTTTCGATTAGCTATGAAAAAATTGAAAGAAATCTGCTGGAGTTGAACATATACCACCATACGTACTGAAAGCATGCTCTGAATGTTTGGAATCTCCACTAGTATTCATTTATAATTTATCAATTAAAAACGAAGAGTTTCCACTGATTTGGTAGTCAGCCATATGTGTACCCATTTACAAATCCGGGGACAAAAACGATATCACTAATTATAGGGGAATTTCCATAATATGCGCACNCATCGCTTCCTTCACATCAGTACCACACCCGCCAAAGAGATCAGTATACTATACCCTTAATGGTCAGGGTCGTTACTCAAATATCATTTACCTACTTTGCCCCTAAACTCTACAACCGAATTCCTGAAAATATAAAATCTATCTCAAATATCAATCACTTCAAAAAAGAGTTGAAAGAGTATATTCTTTAAAGTCAGAGACTTGAACTTCTACATCTATTTGAGTAGATGGGAAAAAACCATACGTACCTTTTGCTATATTGTCCACTTACGATTTTGTAATACATATGTGTTCACATATGTATGTATATACATTATTTACCACTACAATTTTCATTTCTTTTCATCAATGCCATAACTGACTTCGGATGTTGATTTATATATTGATAAGATTTCGTAGATCAGGAAACATATTTTGATACAGAATATAATAATAATAGCCATAATTTATTTACATCGCTAAATTACATTTCATGAATAAAGAAGAAGTGGTAAATGAATAGTTCCATACTTTAGAAGGCTGATCCACGTGCATGGGTTGCGTAGAACAATAAAATAATTGCAATTAAAACTGAAACTGGACACAATCAGAAAATAATTGACGATGAACAATAATTGGTATATTATGCAACCAGTGTGAAACAATATAGCCGGAATTACATTATTATGTTGTGGTGTGTTGTGATGCTCTCTGACGTGACGGAGAGTGTGCAGACTATTCTGATTCTGTCGTGTCGGGGCGCGTTCTGACGTTATTTCGAGTCAATACAGTGGCTAGTTAACGCGTCAGATTAGAAACATACTAGTGTGGAGTGTTTTGTCACGTCATAACCCCACCATCGTTCTGACGCCGATCGGGAATCGACCGATCGCCGTCACGACAGATCGCGTCCCGATACACTGCACTTTAGTAATATAATTCTAAACATACTAAATGTATGGATACGATATACTTGTGGTGCGTCACGACACACCACGACACAATAAAGCCGGTATTATATTATTGTGTCGTGGTGTGTTGTGATGCTCTCTGACGTGATGGCGAGTGTGTTGACTATTCTGTCGTGTCGGGGCGTGCTCTGACGTTATTTCGAGTCAATACAGTGGTGGCCTTTGGAGTAAACGCATGCGAGCATCTACAATGTTTTATTCTGATTCGAATAGTGATACTGAAGAAAACCTTGCGTGTCTGCAAATGTAAAGTTTACTTAAAAAGAGAAGAGAAAATATTGAGTTCATCCAGTAAATGATCTGAGAGGTAGTCGAAGCGAATATCATTTACTAGTGATGAAGACATATTTCATCAATATTTCAGAATGTCAAAAAATCAATTTGAGATATTACATTCTATGGTAGAAAATTATATTGAAAAAATGCAAACTCGTATTTTCTAACAAGTTCAATAAGTTTTTTCAAAAACTACCCTCACGATTTGATCTCCACAAACTTAATTTGAAAAATATCTCACAACATGTTTCGCTAAGACATTAGCTTTTTCAAGTAATTTATCACATACTTGAAAAAGGTAATATCTTAGCGAAACATGTTGTTAGGTGTAGTTTTTGAAATTACTATGGATCTTCATCAAGTAACGGTCGAATCAATCAGAAAAAAAAAGTTCAATAAGTTCGTCCAACATCTTGTGCACAAATAAATGCAAACGACTATTCTCTAGCTAGTTAACGCGTTACATTAGAAACATACCAGTGTGGAGTGTTCTGTCGCGTCATAACCCCACCATCGTTCTGACGCCGATCGGGAATCGACCGATCGCCGTCACGACCGATCGCGTCCCGACACTTTAGTTATACAAATCTAAACATAATAAATGTATGAATACGATATACTTGTGGCGTATCACGCCACACCACGACACAATAATATAATTCCGGCTTGATATAATTCCGGCTTATCTTTCAGTGAAATTTAAAACTGATAAATCAGATGAATTATGGTGCGTATTGGTTTTTGATATCAATATTATTGTGAATCATGCATATAGATGTGTTTAATCCAGTGTTTTTCTCAAAATGAGTTTATTGATAACATTTTTAATTATTTGACAGTAGGTACCTATCTCACCAGTTATTGAAACGTAGTAAAGTTACAAAATATAATTCAGTTCAAAACGTTTATGAAAATTGAATTATAAAACTAGTATTTCACTATGTAAGAAATTAACAAAAAATAAATAATAATTGCACAAAGAAACTTTCCCTCGGTTATCTTAAAGGTGCG